GAGGGGTGGGAGAGAAGGGTTGTGGAGGATAGTAGGCGGTATTGGGGTGAGAGGGGGAATTAGCTATTAGTTGTTGGGTATGTCTGATGCGCTGTTCGAGTGGTGTTTGTATTTCTGTACTCCGTATAACATATAACGACCTGGTGTTGATATATGTACGGAATTGGATTGGTAGTGGGCCGTGAACTTTGTACTGTGGAGCTTGGAGCTACTTGGGGGTTTAGTGGTGTTCACGAAGCTCGAAAGGTGTTATGTTGTCGAAATAATATATCTTGCAGATCGGTGCTGGTGTTGGCGGCTGGTAACGTGATTATAATAATGAACAGCCGCTTCTGGTAAAGTCAAATCCCTCGAGAAACGCGTCGCGTGCGAGCACTATTAGAGTGTCCCGAGAAAATAGTGGCCGACGATCAGGTTCCAAGAGAGGAGGGGCCTCCACTGGGACATCCATGGATGATTTGGAATCATTGGGTTTGTCTTTCATGTGATCGCTCCGTGACTCTGGCAACGAACAATGTACATTGGTGAACCAAACTCGATCGAACTCGATCAGCAAGATAAAGATAATCGGAGTGTGGAAACATAATGGAAGCGCTATTCCCAATATAGTAAGGAGTAGTGCACAGCCCCATAACAGCCACACCCCTTTTTCTTGAAGTGGCTGAAAGCTTGACCGACCTTCTAGAATCGTAACCCGGACCTCCCACGCTAAGTGCGTCAAGATTGATGGCTTCCATACCGCTACGAAGGCCAGCATGAACGCAATCGAATATTTGTCCCTAATGTCGTATTGAAGATCCGAAGTGTTGACGTCAAGTTGAGCAGAGTCTGATATCGGACCCACATGGACCCATGGATGATGATGGAGCCCGTGTGCCAAGACATCGATCTCATCAATCTTGGAAGTTTGTAGATCTTGGGGTTTATAGGATTTTATAGGAGTTTAGTTGGGAAGCTGTACCTTTAGTTCGGGAAAGTACTAACCTTATGGAGATTATGAAGTGGCTGACGTGAATCTGGAGCTGCTGAGTGCGTACGAAGTACCTCTGGAGGTGGAGGTTAATATGACCTTACATATGACACAACGTGCATATGTACCCAGGTAGCACCCACCTGGCAAATCAAAGATAGTTAAAATGTTCTAGGCTGGATGTGCAAAAGTAAGTGTGCAACAAGACTGGGAGGGAGCAGATGTCCGTGTTCGTGGCCAAAGTAGTCCTGCCACGACAGAGTGACGTCAAGTGTCGATCACCAACAGCTATAGCCCCTAGTCTGGGCAAAATAACTGTTCTTTAGGTAACAGAGAACACATTTTGATCGGGCTCATTGTGGTAGGGATCATTGCCTGGTTCCTCTTCCTCGGATCATCATAATGGCGCTATGTCTCTGGTCTTTTATATTCCGTCATCCCTCCCCTCCTACCCTGAATTTCTGAATTTTCTTCCTCTACCATATTTTCCTTCATTCCAGTGATACCCCTTGTTTTGTGCCTACATAGGTTCAATAAATATAGTTAATTCTCAGTGAGTGACCGTTGTTTGTCATCAATGCAAACATCTCTAACCCTGTCCTTAGTTCATACATAATACCTCTCTAGCTATCTCATCCCCTCACCATTGGTCTTTGATACATACTTCATCATGTCTGTGAACGTTCCCACCAATTCCAAGCAGAAGGAGAAGGTATGTGTGACAATACGACCTAATCGAGACCGCCACTAACAGGGAACCCTTCTAGGATATCAATCAGAAGCTCCAATTCTTTGGTATCTACCATGGTAGGTCAAGCTTCACCTCACTCAAATTGACCATTGCCGTGCTAACTATCTCTGTTATAGCCTTCAAGAATGGCAAGCTTCCATCGGTCCGTCTCAATCCTCTTCCATCGCCACTGGCCTTGCCACAATTGCTAACCAGGTATCTTGCTCCCACAGAACAAGCAGTGCGACATCGCTTTGAACAGTGCCTTGAACTGCGAGGCGCTCACATCTCCACCTAAAGAGCTCTCGTCCGACGGAAAGACCCTTGTGGCAGACCTGCGCAATGTCATTGACGCAGCTAAGAAGATGCTCTTGGTCAAGAACGAGGGTGAACTCCTGCAGGACTTTGTCTGGCAAGCCCAAAAGCTTTCAGGCGACAATGTCGATGCCAAGCGGCCTGAGCTCCCCGTCGACAAGGAGACCGGTCAGCAAGATGCTAGCAGGGCCGTTGATGGCCTGAAGACCCTGGGCACACTCATGATCACCAACGGAGAGTTTAGAAAGCTATGTAAGTTAACTTCCGTTAGCTGATCGGAGACATTTTCCTAACACCGCGCAGTGAGCGATGCCATGACCCTTGGCAAAGACATTGCTGCCGATGCTTCTCAAACTGCCGCCAACCGGGTCCGCCCTTCGGAAGAGGAGCTTTCGCAGGTCGACCAAGCTGCAGAGGAAAATGTGTGGCACGAGAAGCCCAATGTCTCCAAGGACGACGTGAAGTCCAAATTCAAGAAGAACAAGGCTGTATGTGTCCTTGATACGCCCTCAATTTGCACATACTGACACTAGTCTCAGGATAAAGGAAGCGCTGCTTCTGCTACCGCTGCGGTCGCCGAGGAGGAGACTGGAGTATCAGCGCAGGAGAAGAAGAGGGCATATTCCGACAAGACCAAGAAGTACTTGTCCGAGAAGATTCCCCAGGAGCGTCGCGAGCAGACCGTCTGGCGCGTGAAGAAGATGATCATTGAGATCCAGGGTCATGCTGACTGTAAGCCATAGTCTCTATATCGATGGAGAGGATTACTAACAAAACATACAGACCAGCAAGCCGTTGAGACATTGTTGAGCATGGCCGAGCAATACGCCGGACACACCAAGGAAGTCTCCAAGCAGGGTGCTGGCTCTGCTCGTGAGGTCCTGAAGAGTGACGGTGTTCAGGCTGTTCAGCAGAACTTGCGCACTCTTATCGAACGCTTTGCCAACCACACCTCTCTGGACAGCTTCTTCGAGTCGCTGAACACTGTCTACCGTGATGCCGAGAAGGACCCGGAACTCCGAAACTGGTTCAAGAACGTGGACACCTTAATTCGGTAGGTGAATTGGAAATCTCCCCTAGAATAAAAGCTGACTAGATGTAGCAAATCTCTGCGCGAGCAGGGCTTCGTCATGGAGGACGAGTGCAACCGCCAGTGGAACGAGATTTACGATAAGGGCCGTTACCTCCTGCGGGAGCGTTACCGCGGTCACTCTGACCGCGTTGTCGACGAGGTCAAGTTCTTGGCCAACGAATTCGAGCGGGACCCGCAAAACCAGGCCCTTGCTGAGTCGTTCCAGAAGCTTTTCAAGGATCTAGGCCACGACGCCAGTGGCAAGGCTACCTTCAAGCCGGATCTCCTTCGGGATCTCCGCGATGTCATCATTCCCAACTTTTTCGAGAATGTTCGCTACGTCCCAATCCCCCGTATCGAGGTTTCGGATCCCATGGTCGATGTTGTGGTCGAGAACCTTGTCCTTGAGGGTGACAACCTGATGCCCAACGTCGTGGAGTTCGGCAGCGACAACTACTTCCGCTGGGGCCGCAAGAAGATCACCAATAAGCGTGATAATAAGATCATGATCTCCATGTCTGGCATCCAGCTTGATCTACGCGATATCAGCTACTACATTAAGAAGAAGGAGGGCTTCCCTGCCATCACTGATCGTGGTGTCATGGACATCTTCCTCGGTGGCGAAGGTCTCAGCATCAAGCTCGCCGCTTCCACCGCCCAAAAGAACGACAAGGAGCACTACTTCAAGCTGGATAAGGTGAATGTGGGCATCAATAACATGGATATCAAGCTGAAGAAGTCCAGCCACAAGCTGCTCTTCAACACCTTCAAGCCCATGCTGTTCCGCGTGGTCAGGCCTGCCCTGCAGAAGGTGATCGAGGGCCAGGCCCGTGAGGCCTTCAGGAAGGGCGACCTCTTCGTCAGGGAGATCCACACCGAGGCCACCCGTGCCCAGGAGGCCGCCCGCGAAGATCCCGCGAACGCGCCCTCAATCTTCTCTCGCTACGCGGATGCCATTCGAGCCCGCACCCAGGCCAAGGCCAAGCAGGTCAAGAAGACCCCTGCACAGCGTGAAACCAAGGTCCAAACCGCGATGACCCTCCACGATTCCATCTTCCCTGACGTCGAGCTCCCCGGCGCTGTATCCACCAAGGCCACCGAGTACGCCGATCTGGCTGCCAAGGGTGAGCGCTGGGAGTGCCCCATCTTCAGCGTCGGCAGCGCATCCGAGTCCACCGGAATCCCGTCCGGTGGACCCATCACCAACAAGCGCCAAGGTGCCAGCACCAACGGTGCAGGTGCCGCCGGAGTTGCTTCCGCCGCGGGTGTCTCTGGCGCCACCGCAGCCGCCGCTTCAGGCGACGCCACTGACGGCAACAAGGTCTCCGATTACAAGTCCCGTGGCTTCTCCGATGAGCTCGACCAAGCTTTCGTCAATGGCAAGTCCCAGGAATTGGGTGATGCCATTAAGCACGGCGCCAACGGTACTAAGGGCGCTGACGGCGTCCCTGACGGCCCTGCCACTGCCGTCACTAACGGAACTACTACCACCGTCTAGACTGAATGTGGCCCAAATCGTTGAGATTCGCGTAACGTCATTTTCTTTCGTCTCTTGATCTTTTTGTTTATTTGCTATGATTTCCCCTTGTGTACTACGGATGTTTGTTTTCTTTTGTACTAGTATTAGCTAACGGTAGCCTAAGACATAATGCCACCGTTGTCTGCGTTGATCATTTCACAGTAAATTTGAGCTTTGGCCACAAGGAGAGAAATTTGAAGTACTCCAGATCCGTGGAAGATAAAACAAGCTTAAAAGTCGTTCATCATCGTCTATAAAATAAGTAAACTGAGCTCCACTATACAAGAAGCTCAGCGAAGATAAAATCCACACGTATCTCCTTTTCTTTCGGCGTCCACTTTCGTAGGGAAATTTCGTATCAAATCTCATATCACAGATGTCACATACTTACCGTCTACATCTGATCAAAGTACTTCTGCCACCCCAACTCGCGCAACTTGGTACCCTTCAGCTCCATGTTTTCAGCACGGGCAGCCTCGGCGTAGGCCTCGACCTTGCGCTGGATGGCCGGGTCGAAAGAGCCAAGCACACGCGCGGCGAGGAGGGCAGCGTTGATGCTGTTGTTGATGCCGACAGTGGCGACGGGGACGCCTATTTCGAAATGTTAGACATAGATCAGATAAAGGTGTAGAAGGGGAATAAAGAAGCTGAGTAAAACGGGAAATAACGTACCACGCGGCATCTGCACAATGCTGTACAGACTATCGACGCCGTCGAGTGAGCTCCCCTTAACCGGTACGCCGATAACAGGGAGGGCAGTGTGAGCGGCTGCCATGCCGGGAAGGTGGGCAGCGCCACCGGCGGCAGCGATGATCACCCTGATGCCGCGCGAGGCAGCCTGGCCCGCATACTCGGCCATGTAATCGGGCGTGCGGTGGGCAGAGGTGATCTCAACCTCAGGCTCGATGTCGAAGTAATCACGCAGCAGCTTGAGGCCCGGGACGAGTGTCTTCAAGTCGCTGTCGGAACCCATAATAACGGCGACGGAGGGGGCGGGCTTGGAGGGACCGGAGGGGGCAGCCTTGGTTTTGATATCGGGGCGCTGGGCGCGCATGGTGTCGACAACGTCGACGAGGGGCTGGATCATGGTCTCGGCTTCGTGTATGGTCGCCGCGGTGACGGTGACGTGGCCCATTTTGCGGCCAGGCTTTGCGGCGCCCTTGCTGTAGAGGTGGATGCTCGCGTTGGGGATGGAGAGGGCCGCTTCGGTGGCCTTGAGGTGGGAGTCGGGGGTTGCGCCGCCGATGATGTTGAGCATGATTGAGGGCTGGAGAAGCTCAAGGCTCTTGGGTGGGATGGGCAGGTCGAGGATCGCGCGGATGTGGCTGTCGAATTGGGACAGTGCACAGCCTTCGATTGTCCAGTGGCCGGAGTTGTGGATTCGGCTTGCAAGCTCGCAGAGCATCAGACTGTTGTCTTCTAGGAGGAACATCTCCACGCCGAAAGCGCCTTTGCCTTCAAAGGCGGAGACGGCTTTGCGGGCGAGAGCTTGCGCTTGCTGGTTGATGGCATCGGGGACGTTGCGGGCTGGCGCATACACCAGCTTGCATATTGAGTCCTCTTGGACGGTCTCAACGGTGGGGTAGGAGAGGACGTCGTCCTTGGTTTTGATAACCATGACGGCGAGTTCCTGTAGACAAGTTATATTAGAGATATGCATAATGTGAGGTTCCAACTGCAGGTACTAACCATCTTGAAGTAAGCCCATTTTTCGGAGTAGAGCGGGCGATCCTTCAGAGCCTCGAGGGCCTCGGGGATATCTTCTTTGGAGTTGACACGGAAATTTCCTTTGATACCGTTAATAAGTGTATACCTCTGGGCCTCACATGTGACTCACCACGTCCGTCATATGCCATAGTCTTCGACTTCAACATCATCGGGTAGCCCAACTCCTCTCCGATCTGAGCCAATTCCTCTGGTGTGTTGTTCACCAGCTCCCGGTGCTCGGCCATAGGGATTCCATATTTGCGGAGGTGCTCCTTCTGGTTGAACTTGTTCTGGATTGTCCGGATAGCCTGCCAGCTGGGTTCCACCCGTACCTTCGAGGCAACCTCCTCAAGAGCGTAAGTGTCGACGTGCTCGATCTCGGCAGTGATGACATCGCAAGTCTCAGCCAATTTACGCACAGCGTCAGGCTCCTTGAAAGAGCCGGTCACATGGCCGTCGTGAGAACTGATCTGCTTGGCGGGAGAGTTATCGGCGTCTAGGATATTGGCCTGAATGTTCAATCGGTTGGCGGACTCGACGAGCATGCGGCCCAGTTGGCCACCACCGAGGATTCCGACCTTAGGCGAGTTCCACATGTTGTCAGATCGAAGGGATAAATGAGTCAATTGATCGAGATTTGGTAGACGAGAGATCGACGGTGCCCCTCCACTCCGAAAATTCGCGGAGAGTCACGTGGCGCTATCGATAAGCTCAGGCCAATCACACATGTCGACTGCCGCGCCCTTGTCGCAGCTTCGACTCTCTGTTTCTCCATGCACAGCTGACTAGACAATGTCTCTGGGTAGGTTGACCATCACAGTCGCACTCTCAGTCTGAGTTGAAATGGGCCTTGCTGATATCAGAATTACAGACGAGGAAGTTCTCCAAACAGCCGCCAATGGCGGCCCGCTGGACTTGTACGTGAAATCATGCCAAGAACCCCAAACGCTTTTGAGGCTAACGCGCTGATGTAGAGGGAGATGGAACGGCATGGCTGGGCCTCTGATTGAGCGACTGGAATACGTGCGCTATACTTCGATGCCCCTGACCGACTTATCTGACCAGTAGCTCCAGATCGTGCACAATGTGTTCCCCATGCCTCAATTCCGCCCCGAACCCATCGGCCAGCCTTCATTTCCCCATCATTCTTCTCAAGCAAATTCCATCCCACCCGAAAGCAGCAACAAGGAAAACACCGCCCCCGCCGACATCCAGACTTCACCCCAGGCAGCGCGAACTGGCTCTCCCCCGCCGAGTGAGCGAGTGCCATCACTGCCCCAGTCATCTGGTGCGAGCACCGATGACCGGCTCCCACCCCCGCTTGCATTTCTTCTGAGCGCCATCCGCTCGTCGATTAAATCGTTCTTCGAGGATAAACCTCCACACACCATTCAGAGACTCGCAGAGCTGGTCCTCTATCCGACCAAGCACTATAGAACATTACCCGCATACCTACGTGCTGTCGATCGCGTTGTCTCAGTGACAAGCTCCGCAGATATCTTCCCATTTCAAACGCCGGCGGTCACGAATGCTCCATCGAATGGGCTGATGCTTCCTGGCAATAGCAGCGAGGTGTATATGGCCCCGGATATTGCCCAGGGTCTTGGAAGCGATGAATCTCTAGGCGGTGCACTACTTACTCCGATCCCGTGGTTAACTAATGCCTCGTTCGAAGGCGAGGATACCAACGGACATGCAGGCATACTAGTTGAGGGTAATTTTATCAATTATTACAAAGCTACTGGTTTCCTGTTCACTGACATTTCCCCCCAGGTACCGAAGCTCTACCTACACAGCCCGAGGAGGAGCCGGTCAACAGAACCCTAGTAACTTCTGAGGCCGAAGAAAGCGTTGCTGCCACCTCACCAGAGCCATCTGACGAAGTCCCACACGCGCGTGGTCCAATCGTCCTCGGCGTGGAAGACATGGGTCTGCAAGACGGCAAAGGCGTCGAGATGCGTCTTGCCGCAGACGGTGCCGCCGATGTCCCGGCTCCAGCCGCTGCCACTAGTAACCAGGCAACAGAAGAACAGGAAAAGGCCGAATCAACTGGCGACAATGACGGTGACATTGTCCTTGTGGACACCAAACCGAAAGAAGAGGAAGAAACCAAGGACGAAGGTCCTTCTACAGAGCCCCAAGCAGGTAATGCAGAGTCTGGACCAACTGGTGATCCATCCCAAGCGCCGGACGCCGAGAAGAAAGCATAAGCCATTTATTGGTTTTTCAATAAGGATTGTTCTTTTCCTCTTCTGATTTTCTCGGTTGGTTTTCTCCTGGATTTTAGCATCATGAGTAACGACCTACAAGATTATATCGATCAATATTCAATGAAAGGCTCTTGCAATGTCTACGTTTCTCTATAGATAGCTCAAGCTTGGTGGTTCCATTCATTTCGGATGGAGCATAGACTGATGAGGCCTTGCTCCCTGTTGTATTCCTTGCCAAATCTTTCATCTATCTATGTGCGCCTCCATACCTACCTAGTTAGTATCTCTATGAGTTTGTAGCTCAAAATCTCTGAACGCGAAGAACTCCACTTCATTTCTGTTCATAAGATCGAGTATATAAACGATGCCCTCACCATAATGCTGAGGCATGCGTGACGTGAAATGCAGTATGATGATACTTGCACTGGGATGACCGACCTCGGGAAATATGGAATTGGTGCTGTCTTTCAGGGTAAGCACGATCATCCGCTCTTGGCATTTGATCAAGACAATCTCTTACCTCTCCCGTGAGCTCTCCCGAGGTCTTCTTCCAAGGTTGTTCGGCACTTGCCAAAGTACGCTCCAGTCAGGGATGGCTTCGATAACCAACTGAGAGCGGCATCAGATCCGTTATTGGGGGTCTCATGCCCGAATCTACATTGTTTGCCGGAAAGCGTCTACAATACGGAACCTCGAAACACTGAAATCGCTTCGAAGGTTCAATCCAACGTCCAATAGCAATGAATCTACCTCTTATCAAGACTCATCACCATCTGTATGGCGACGAAATCGGGAGAAAGGATCATTGACTAAAAGAAAAGACCCCAATCGCTACTGGAGTCCTTATCGTGGCAAACCGATCTATAGTGTCATATATCGGAAAGTGAACATGTAGGAATGGGGAGATTACATACGTACATGGTCCATGCCAAGGTGTATAAGAAAAGCCAATGCAAACAAGACAAACAAAACAAGCACCATGGTCCAGCCACAAGGCCAAGATCCAAAGAGGTCCAGAACTCCCCGCAAGGTCTGGGCCCTCCTGGACCTTGAAAGGAGTTTAAATATTTAAATATGATCGAAGGTCTAGACCTTCCCTTATTTCTCCCCCTGCAGTTCGTCCCGCGAAATTGGAGAGGAATGCGGATACTTCTACAGGTGGGATTAAGTGGAGATATATTCCGGTGCTTCAAGTCAATTCTTATAGCGTAGTCTTCCAGGTTGCTGGGTGAATGCTTACGTAGGAAATAGCGCTTAGATGTTGCTTTAATGTATTCATACGTACATGTACGCATACGAAGCGCCTACAAGATGAGCCCTGGAACTGGAACCACGGATCCAATAAGTGCCCCTGCGTGGACATAGGCACACAGAATGCGAGAGAAATAAAATAATGTTTGTGAATATGTACCTGATGAAAAAAGCTCTCCGGTGAATGCATGAACCCACGGTGGATATAGCTGACGCATATAAAATCGCACAGATCGCCACCCACTTTAAATCAAACCCAACGCCAGAACCTGTAAAAGGTAGAAAACAAATGCGGCGATTCAAGACGTCCGCGAAGAGTAGCAAAATGTACGATTTGGAATTTCGAATTCGAACCTCGTTATAGACAAGTGGGAATCGTGAGTCAATGGACAGGCGGAAAGGTGAAGTCTAAGGATAAAAAGGAAAAATGACCGGGAGATGGTTTAGCCAGGTCGGCCAGCTTGCACGGCAAGCATTGGTTGAGGTTGGGAGTACATGCGTTGCCGTTTCGGCATGTTGGGGTTATCAGCACCGCCCATGTCGGAGATTTGACGGCGATGCGGGGGACGTATAGGAGCGCCCGCGGTTGGGACTCCTACTGGTGGCGCTGGGTACTGAACGCCATTTTGGTCAACAGCGTAGGCGGCCGGTTGAGCTGTAACGTATGGCCCTTGAACTGCTGGCATATTCGGTGGAACAGCCTGCATATTTTGGAATTGGCTAGGCGATTGCCAGTTAGTCATCGACCCAGCCGGCGACTGGCCTGGAGAGCTGTCTTCTTTAATCGACTGGTTTGCTGAACTTTGAGTTGCAGCTGCCATGGTCACAGCGGCCGCGGAAGGCCGTACTGGTTCCATTCCTGGGTTCTGTGGCGAAATCTTGAGATGGTCCAAATGCCTCTCAAGCATATCGAGAAGACTCTTGCGGGTGAATGGTTTTGGAAGAACATCATCCATTCCTAAAACGAGTTAATGGACGACCTTAACAATATTGATCTTTGTCTTACCATGTCGAAAATAGAGCTGGATGTCGTCGCTTCGGATGTTCGAGGTCATGGCGATGATAGGGGTGCGATCAAATTGGCGAATCAAATGACATGCTGATACACCGTCCAAATTGGGCATAATGATGTCCATCAGAATTAAATCGTATTTTGAGCCACTCTGGATTTTGTTCACAGCCTCCAAACCGTCAAACTAGTGGAAGTATTAGCAATCTTGCGCTAGTCAAGGGGACAAGACTATTGACGTACTGCTGTATCAATAACACACGAGAAAGAGTAGAGGAATTTTCCGCCAATCTGCCGACAAGTGGCGTCGTCCTCAACCAAGAGGATCTGTGGGCTGCGCACCCAACCAGGGTCCACATTCGTGCTCTTTTTCCGGTTGTCGGGAAACTGCCGACGAGCATCCGAGGTATCGATCTCCTGCTTGGCCGGCATTGGGTACGGAACATTGTTGATATGCTCGCTATACATGGGATCGATGCCGTTTATGGCACCCACGGGATACACCACTTGCTCTAGATCGCCGGCCATCTTGGGGTAGACCAGCGCTGGGTTTGCTGGTGCAGCTGTCGCGGGACGGAGTGAACCATTTCGCGCATTCGGGTCCAGGGTGGGAGTTGAAACGACGGCCTTTTGAGGATCGTTCATCGAGTCCACACCGTTCACATTGAATTGTAGTTCGGCGTTCATGTCATTCAGGAGCTTTGAGGCTTGCTGGAGGGGCGATGAGGGTTCGTCATCCACCGCACCAACCTGGGAAGGGCTCATTGTTGTTCCGGGCGCTTGGAAAGGCACAGCCTTGCTATCTCGACGCTGGCGCGCATCCACCGAAAGCAAGTAGGTCATCACCTGGTGAATGACATTCTCGTGGTTCAAAACCGTCTTCTGCACCCGCATCACTTCCTGTAGCATGAGCTGATGATCCACCGTGAGCTGGGCATATCGGTCTGATAGATGTTGGATCTGCTGCTGCTGCGCCACAATCTGCTGGTTAAGAAGATCGATTTGTTGCGTGGGTACGGAGTCATCACTGGGTTGGGTTTGTTTTCGTGGCGCAGGTGCCTTCCGTCGAATGTTATCGAGCGATTCTTTGCTGTTTGCGCGGAACTCTGGGTGCTTGAATTCCCATGCCTGTGATTTGTGTGAGACCCTCGGTCCAATTAACCTTGGTATGGGAGAGGTGCCTACATTCTGTCCGTATGGCGACTGGCCATTTTCTTCATTGTTTTGTCGCACCTTGTGGAAGTCGTATTTGTTCAGTTGGCGCACGAAACTGGCAAAGTTGCTGTGTTTAAAATGCTTCGGCAGGATGGTCTTGGTGAATTTCTCGCACTGTGGGGATTCGAGTCAGCCAAGCACACAGAGACCAAATCTGTTCACACAAATCCACGGGCACATTACCTCTAATACCACAAAGGAATCCCCTTCGTCACCCCAGCGTACGATAGACGCATAGGTTGGGTCCTCCAGCATTCTGTGGGACACATTAGATTAAAAGGTAAGAAAGGGGAAATTGAACAGCAAGACTGACTTATACAACTTGCGTACCTATTCATATTGTTAGTAAATATGAATTATAACAAAGAATATTAGGAATATAGAAATATAGGATCACTAACAAAGTCACTGGAGTTCCCAGCGGGGGCGGGATTGGAAGAGGTCTGGCCACCGTCCATGCTGGGCTAGACGGGTCGCGACCGGTCGAACAAGCAGGTCTGGCTGATTTGGTCCCAACGGGTAAAATTGTAAATATAACGGACAGTTCAATATCACAAAAAGAATAAGGGGAGAAAGCCAGACCTTTTCGGAGGGTGGGAAAGAGAGGAAAGAAAAAAAATATGAACGGGGGGTCAGTTCCTTTAGCGGTAGAGCCAAGTACCAAAGTTACTGTGGAGGTCCTGCCTGGTACTTGCAATGGACTTGCTCTGTTCCAGCTTATGTCGTTATTTGGTTATTTTTATACTATAAATACATGCATATCCACGGGCATTTAATTCTTCGATTCTATTCACATTCAAATGTTTCTTAATGCAAGGAGATCTTGAATATCCCAAGACTCAGGGACCAACGAGGGGCAAAATTCCAGTATGTCACACACACATCGGACCCAGAGACGTACTAGCCAGGTATTTTATACAAGTTTCTTTGAAAATACGAAAGAAAAAAGACTTCATAAACAGATCTTATTCGCTATTAAAAAGAGATGCAGGACAGACAGATATGGAGGGGATCGTGTCAGTGCGCACGAGATGGAGGGGGAGAGTATGCATTCCCCCCAATGACCTGATCGAAATGGTGAGACATTGGATTAGCGTAGACCCTCAGAAAAAGAGATGAGAAGAGATATCAAAGAGTCTTCCAAGGTGTGTACAAAGTAACGGGTATAAGCAGTATATGCTCCCGAAGGTCCACTGGAAACGCTTTTAATAAGTTTCATATAACATTCGGTGATCAGCCCTGCCATTCTCCGCGTGTCTCAGTTCTCCTATAGCATGTGTTCGGGGTTTGGTTGAACAAGTTTGACCTTACGGGTCTTCATGAACCTATCAATCGGAGAGACTTACCCACTTTTACCGAGACCCGATATTAAATGAAAGATAGTACGGAGTATATGGCATCATGATATCTTATGATCCAAGAATAGCCTAAAACCTAAGTCTTCACCAAATAATTACCCACACTGTCAACACTTTGCGTAGTTCATGGTCTGGAAGCCACCGAAAGTACATATGTAGTCTAGATAACGATCAAAAAGCCCAACACGAGTTCCCACTGTAGCACATTGTCGTCATAATAAAAGCACATCACCTATATCACCTGAGCTCCGTCAAGTCCATTATCTTTCAAAACAGTTGTGTTGGCCCGGACTTCATGTTGAACTATGTTGTAGAAGATGACTGCATCCTTCAGCAGGGGTTGATGCTCCACTGTGTGACGGAGCAAGGATGCACTGCATCATGGAGGAATAGGATGTGACTTCATATCATCCGATTCGAAGACGGCTCGTCCGCCCTGTTCTTAAAAGAGAGCGCTTATTATAAGTGACGGCTCATATAGGTTGCTCCGCGGTTATCTGCGGTATAGCCTCCGCAGGTTGCACCAGTATCCACAGGTTGAAGACGAGTTTCTGTGCCAATCAACGATGATAAGCATCAAATAAGGAAGATGTATGGAATAGATGAAAGTAGAGCAAAGAACATCAATATAGAAGGAAATATAGAAGGGAATAGTGAGGTGTAAACAGAGTCCCTAAAAATAATGCAAACAGCCATGACGAAATCTCCCAAGCTCGACGTACCGCCCTTGCTCTTCCCCATAATTTCACAACGTCCAATTTTTTACCACTCTTGTTCCTTCGATCCAATTAACCGATCCAATTAACCCAATCCCATCATTTATCCAATTGAACCACAATGTTCGCCCGCCGTATCGCAACCAACATGCCCCGCGTTCGCGCGCAAGCATCCCTCTTCCACAGCACAGCGCCCGCGTTCGTGCAAAAGGGCGACGCCATCCCCGACCTGGACGTCCTGGTCGAGAACTCCCCGGGCAACAAGGTCAATTTGGCCAAGGAGATCAAGAACAAGGCTGTCATCATTGGCACTCCGGCTGCCTTCAGTACGTGAACTCATCCTACTTTGGTAAGAAACAAAGACTCCTGTTCGGGACTGACATTCTTCAAGGCCCTGCGTGCTCAAGCACCCACGTTCCCGGCTTCATCAACCACCCCAAGCTCAAGGAGGCTGGTCAGGCTTTCGTCATCTCTGTCAACGACCCCTTCGTGTAAGCTATAAGTGTTGAGTTGCAGCGCGGAAGCGTTGGAACATCTGTTGACAAAGCTATGATGTAGGACCAAGGCTTGGGCTGATTCCCTCGATCCCTCCGGCAAGAGCGGTGTAAGTTTTCTTTTTCTTTGTTTTTGGTTTCGATCCCAGCGACAGAGCTGATATTGTATTTTGAACAGATTCGCTTCCTGGGTGACCCCTCCGGCGCGTTCACCAAGGCGCTCGACCTCGGCTTCGACAGCAGCGCCATCTTCGGCAATGACCGCAGCAAGCGCTACGTTCTTCTCGTCGAGGATGGAAAGGTCAAGGAGGCTTTCGTTGAGCCTGACAACACCGGTCTTGATGGTATGTCTCTCTTCTGTCGAGCACATCGTTCTATGCTAACATCACTTGAAAGTTTCCGCTGCGGAGAAGGTGCTCGGTTAAAGTCATCTCTGGATGAGCTCTAATCTCCTTGCAAATAGTAGAAAGATATGTACCATGCACAGAATTTATTTCTGATCCCTGCTGTACGGTACTTCGAAGCGCAGGGGTTTAGTGTACAAATATTCCATCCTTTCCGACCCGGCCAACGCCTGATAAATCGATGCCAGAAATAAATAGGCAAGTATGTAGTTGAATCAAGCAATTAGAAATCAACGGCCGATTCTTCGTTCCTGGACCAAGTCTGAACCCTCGATCTTTAGTCTAGTCCAGTTTATTCCAAATATGCCTTTGGGAAGAGGCAATGGTTCATCATATTCCTGCCTCTTTTCGAGGAATAAGCTACTGCTGCAGAGCCTGCCACTGCTCGGGGGTATAGCACTTGGGTGTCCAAGCATGAATAGCAGCGATCTCGGCCTTGAGCGCGGAGTTGACGAGCCGGTGTCGCGCAAGCATAGTCTTGCTCTCGAATTGAGGGGAAACAATCACAGCCTGGAATGCCTGTCCACAACCGCCTATATCAACCCAAAAAGACAGAACGTCAGCGAGAGATCAACAAGGGAAAAAAAGAGAATGCCTCGACGTCATAGCGCCATTCCCATTCCCATTCCCATTCCCATTTTCAATTTCAGTTTCCATACCCGATAGATCCTCAACCTCCACATGCTGCGCCTGCAGCACTTCGGTCAACTTGTTCTTCAGCGAGTCCGCGGTAATTCCAGATGTGTCGGCCATAGCGGCGTTGATGGCGGCGTGGGAGCGCGAGGTGAGGGAAAATGAAGCCCGCTGGATATTATTGTGAGGGCGGAGGAGATAGCGGCAGCTTCTGCTCAGGACGGTGAAGGAGGAGGTGCGAGAGAACATCAAGTATGGTATGAAATGAAAAGAAGACGAGAAGGAGATAAAGTGCCAAACCCGAGGTTATCGCGAAGTATGGGAGTCGCTCTTATTACAAATTCAGAGCCTCCGGTCGGCTGTGGCTGGTGAGTGCACGTGTGTGGCTCATTATCATTTTACGTTGCCCTTCTTCTGTCTTCATTGAATGTCTCTCTATGAATTTTCTTCGCGCTGCTACACGTCGATTCTCTGTCATGTCTGTGCCCATGATGTCCTCGGAATGCTCGCCATTCACTAATACTGTGGTGAGCTCCATGAGAAAGCTGTAATTCACCCCACTTGATCCCAGAGCTCCCCGCATTGTATGGAGCTTCCTTTAACCTCTTATATGCAGATACCCGGAGGCATTGGCAGACAAGAGCTTCGATAATACAGGATGTAAGTTGGTTAATTTTTAATTTTCTTTTTTTGTTTTCGAAATATCCTTCGATTGGTTGTTGTAATGTACTAACCTCGCTCAATTGTAGTGCTCCTCGAAGCTCCTTTCGACAAATCCCGGATACAGAACAACTCGGTCCTCCTCACAATTGACCTCACCACGGCCGTTGCCGACGAAGCCATTAAGAACCGCAACTCGATCATCGTCGCATACCGTAAGTCTCGTCCGACACCTCGTGAACTCGAACAAATATCTACAATTGGACCCAAAGACTAACACGTCACAATCATACAGACCCCATCATCTTTCGCGGTCTGAAATCCCTCACCTTCGCCGACTCCCAACAACGATCCCTGCTCCGCCTAGCACAGCATGGAATCAGCGTCTACTCCCCGCACACAGCAGTCGACACCGTCCCCGGCGGCATGGCCGACTGGCTCTGCGACGTAGTGACAGGGAATTTCAAACCTGTACAAACCTCCAAAGCCACCATCGAATCATGCAGCTCGAGCATGTACTCCGCCCCGACCTACCCGAGCTCACCAATCCCCGCCGTGCAAACCCAAACCTCAGGACCAGAGCACACCAGGGCTACACTCCACCCATCCCCGCCAGCCTCAATCCCAGAAGGGTTCGAGTCAGCCGGTGCCGGCCGTCTGGTGACATTCGCCGAAAAGCAGCCCCTCACCACCCTGATTGATAACATCGCTGGTGGAATCGGACTGCCGGGCGGTATCCCCATCGCCATCCCGCAAGACAAATCCGTTGATGAGATCTCCATCCGCACGGTGGGCATGTGTCCGGGCTCGGGTTCGGGTGTGCTACTCAAAGGTGATGGGGAGCTACCTGATCTCCTGCTGACTGGTGAAATGAGTCACCACGAGGCTTTGGCTGCTACGGAGCGTGGGTCTGTTGTCATTTCGCTTTCGCACACTAACTCGGAGCGTGGATATCTGCGTTCGGTCATGCAGCCTAAATTGCTGGCTGAGGTTAAGGAGCAGTGGGATGAGGCTTTCCTAGAATCTATGAAGGCTATTGGCGATCTTAATAAGTTTGGTGGGATTCCATCGTCGGCTGCGTTCCAGATTCGACAACTTTATAAGGACCAGGGCGTTATTGAGGTTTCTGTTAGCGAGGCTGATCGTGATCCCTATGGTATTATGATTTGGCGTGGTAACTAGGTTTGCTCTTCTGTGTTGCGTCGGCTTGACATCTAACAATACTACGAGAAGAGAGGCGAAAAGTATAGTCACAATTAGAGAACATCATGAGGACATTGTTGATCAGACACCGAAGTATCTCAGCTAGTATTCAATCAATTTGACTAGACTGCAATCATACTTGGGCTAGAAATATGCAGTATGAGCGAGTCTGGTAATATGTCAAGAAAGTAGTTTGAAATGAGAAGGATATCCTAATGGGCAGACAACGGTAGAAACAAAGAAAAAGTGTCTTGAGGCGAGCGAGAATACAAGAAGGATGAGGGACCCAGGTGAAACATCGAAGAAATGTAGGCTAGCGAGGATATGAAGGAAAATAGAGCTCAAGTTTTTGGCCTTCCCTTCACGGCTTCAACCCACAATTCATGGACGTAGAAGATTGTGGTGAGTATCGGGTAAAGATAGGAGAGAAATGAAGGGAAACAAGGACAATGAGACCGGGTAAAAACCAGACGACCAAGCCCCGAGAGACTGAACGAGAAACAGAAAGAAAAATGAGATAGATGGTATCCGCGTGAGTGGCCTTAGCGAAGTCAGGAATGAATCAATAAAGAAGAGCTCCACGAAACAGTGACTACAGATCAATCAGGCTGCCGCCGCCGCGCTGTTGCTGTTGCTGACCTCCCCAAGGGTTGGTAGTAGCAGGTTGTTGTTGTTGCTGCTGCTGCACATAGCCGGTCTGCTGCGGCATGCCTGTGAACTGTTGGCTGAAGAATGGGTTTCCGGTGGGAGTAGCGTGTAGGCGATCCAAACCCTGACCAGCAGAATTGACAAATGTGCCAGGTGCTGTGTGCTGTGCTGGGATTCTGAGGTCTCCGACATTGCCGAAGGTATCCTGGCCTTCGCCTGACCCGAGAAGGGCGTTGAGACGAGCATGGTGAGGGTCCTGTGGCGGGGTACTCTTTGGTGGCTGTGGGGCTTGGAAGCCAGCGATCGGGTTGGGCTGAGTGGGTTGGGCGAACTGCGAGCTTTGGCCATACTGCGCATTGTTCTGGGCAAACTGATTCGTTGCACGGTCCTCCGACAAGGAATTGAGTGTTGGCGGGCCTGTTTTCGCAGGGTTGTTGAACTGTGTTTGAGTACGCTGAGCGAAGGGGTTGTTTGATCCTGTCGGCATGGGCTTGAGGGCATCAGCGGGCTGCAGTTGCTGCTGAGTTTGGTTTCCGGCCCATGGGTTATTGCTTCCTGCGGTCTGATAGTTCTCCTGGGGTTGCTGCTGCTGCTGCTGCGAGAAGATATCCGCTCCGTAAGGGTTGTTAGGGTTGAATGCGGTCTGCTGGGGTTGGAGAGCGGCCTGAGGTTGCAAAAGGTTGTTTTGTTGCTGGCCGTAAGGGTTCTGATCAAAGGCCGAGGGTTGCGCCTGATAGCCGTTGGCGTAAGGGTTATTCATGCCGGTGGCCTGGTTCTGGAATCCTGTCGGCTGCGCGTACTGGTTGTTCAGGTAACCAGTTGTCATAGGCTGCTGAGGGTTGATCGGGTTGCCGAACCAGTCCACAGCACCTTGTTGTTGGTAGCCCTGGTTGTAGCCGGTTGGCTGGACTTGAGCTGGAGTGTCGTCGAAGAGAGATTGGGCGTTGCTCTCTTCTAATTCGCGCTTTCGGAGGTCTTCCTCTTCCCTGCTAAGCTTGATGGCCTTGGCAAGATCCTCGTCGTCCTGAGTTGCCATTGTCTCCTTCGCACGTCGCCTGCGCTCTTCCTCAGCTTCGGCCTTGCTGGCTTCAATAGCTAAGCGGTATTCGGTGTCGGAGTCGTCGTCCCCGGTGCGTCGGCGTCGGTCTCTGCGCGGGGGTTCCATGGGGGAGTTTCCGTAGCCTTCATCTAGTCCGCTTACTCGAGTCTTCCAGAGTTTGCGATCCGACCGTTCACTGCGCAAACGATCTTCATCCAGTACCAATGCAGTCAATTCCTTTGCTGCGACGCGAACTACGGAACACCAACCTGTCAATTTTGCGACCCCTCTGGTTTTCAAGAGAGACAACTTACCGTTCTGGCCAACATCCCTTCCTTCCTCGTCCACATATGTGAACTCGCGCAAAGTCTTGATAATATAGACATTTTTCCGGGCCCACGTTACCACCAACTCTGAGCCTTCGTGGAGACAGTAGTCCAAGACCTTCAGTGACTTCAGCACATGGCGCCAGTTCTTGCCCTTATCGTTGAGTCGCTTGTCAAGCATGTCCATGATCTCGTAGAACTCGTTCGGACTATTGTGGAAATGGCATTAGCAGCGCCCACAGAGTTGATCGCAGACGCAACTCACCTCCCGAAAGTCATAGCGGCAATCTCGGACATGTCGGTGCCGGTAGGGCCCCAAGGGTCATTACTAGTGGCTGAAGAAATAAGTTAGCAACTTCGTCACAACGTGTGCGGGGTGCATGGGCGCAATGCAGCAAGCAACCCCCCGGGGGAAACAGGGGGCAGCAAGCCGTGGCAACAGCATTTCTGCACATCCGGCAGCAACTCGATGGTCGCCAGCAAGTTCGACATAGTGGAATCGGCTCATACCATTTCGGACCTTAACCTGCACTGAGGAGTATCCTTTTGTGACATTCTTCACGCTCCGCACGACTTTGGACATGGTGGCGGTGAGGCGACGGTCGCTGATTTAAGGCGAAGGGAATGGATCGTAGTCGTCGGGTGGAAACCGATGCGAAGGATTATTGTCGAAGAGTAGTAGACTGCCAAGCACACACAGCCCTCTTTCTCCGGGTCGCGGCCTAAGATGGTTGTCAAGCGTGTCACTCCTCTGAAAGGTACAGGTAGATTGGTCTAAAGAGGTCAGGGGATTGAGGTCTAGATTGCCTGAAAAGGAAATATTGGCAAACAATAGTCGACAGTCAAAGGATGAAAGATGAAAAGTGAAAGAGAGGAGAGGGGATGGCTCGAAACGGGGGAGCGAGAGGGCTTGGCAGTGACGAAGCAGTTTGGAACTTATACACCTGGCACAGTTCAAGATCTACACTTGGGAACTTTTTAGACTGGAAGATTTTTCAATTTCATTTATTATCAGAAGTAGAAAGAACAAGAAGAAACAGCTCCAATCTCATTCAATTGTCTGACACGTACAGTGCATGTCCAAGTGCCGTTACGCCCCGGAGGTCCGGTCTAATCACCGTGATCTTACTTTTTCTCCTTTTCTCCCCTATCTATAGCCCAGAACAAGCAATTCACTATTTGACATCCACCTATTCATCTTATTTGACATATATATCAGAGCCAATTCCAATTCTTGCATTGCATCGAAAAAACAGATAAAGAAAAAAGACATGGCATGTTTCCCGCCACATGTGGCGGCCTTGGGCCGCGTAAGAACCTCGTGGTCAGGCAACAGTCAATTGGACTGCATGTCTAATGGAGTACTATTAGTGGCTATATACCTATGTACCTAGGTAGTTACTACTTAGGATATATTGTCCATAGCATATTGCAATATGAAATCCCACGATGGAAGAACCAGGCTACGTCATTTGCTTTTCTAGAATGCAACGACACTCTTGGCACTCCGATCGGAGGTCCACCTTGTTGATATCGAAGTTTTATATCCATTCCTTACTATTCACCTTGCTTTTCATGTAGTGCCAGGATTGGTTCCAGAGCTGAACCTATTCAAACACAACATACCAATGCACCCAATTCCTAGTGGCGAGAGATGGCCAATATCTTGAAGCGAGTTGGATACCATGGGAAGGGCGAGCTACCGGGCTTTGTACGTACTGAGAGAGACAGTGCTTCCTCCTGCCATCACTTCCATTGCAGGAGATGAAAGCGACTCGTGTCCTGGCCAGCACCAAGGCAAGCTTAGCCAGTAACTGGTTTACGCGTCCCAGTGGCTATCCCATCACCTCAACATGAGACGTCTGGACGCCTGCATTAATGTCTCCTCCCTGGGACCTCTACTTCATATCCGGGAGAGCTGGTTACTCTACCCCAGAAATATCACTTAAGCCTACGCGTCTTCGACAGTAAATGCATTCAACTACCTAGGTGACTAGCTACACACTGAAAGAGGATGTGATCAAACACCCCCCATGTATTCCGTGGGACCCGTCAAGTGGCTATGGAGAGCCCAAAGGCACAGCCACGACTTTGTCAAAGAACATCCACGAGAAAGCCCGGTTTGATTTGGATGTGGACCTATATGGACCTCAACAACCTTGGTAATGTTGACGTCTTTATGTATAGGTAATGCACGGCCCTTGCCTCGCCTAGGCGATCTCATGGGGGCTACGGAGAGATGCGGTCGAGAGGGCTGGAGAGATGAAGAAGGAAGAAGAAGAGAAGAGGAAGAAGGGTGAGAAGGGTCCTTTTATACCCCCAACAACACGTACCTTCCCAAAATGGGCACCTGCCTTGCACCTTCCCTCTCATCACCACATGCCATCGTACCTTCCCAATCAGTATACGGATATTTCCGGGTTGTTCACACAGGGGCTCTTTAGGAAGTAGCCCGGAGGCACTTTGACCACTTGTGCGCTAGAAATTAGACGGATTAATCTTCGCAGTGCAATTTCAAGTCCCAATTATTCAAGAATCTCAAGCAATCCCATCAGACAGAGCACCAGCGATACTCTCAATAAACCCTTTATTCTGCATCCCATCCACCCATTCACCAGGAATAGCGTCAAACCCATAGAACGAGCCCGCAAGACCCCCATAAACAGCCCCAGCAGTATCCGAGTCACCACCCAGATTGACGACTGCCAACGCCCCATCCTTCCAGGTGTCATACTTGAAGAATGCCCACAGAGCGCATTCAAGCGTATCAACAACCCATCCACTACTCTTCATATCACTAGGCTCCTTTGACTTCCAGTCTGTGAGCGTTCTGTACCTGTACTGTGACATGCGCTCCTTCAGAGCAGGGTGAGTGAAAGGGAACACGGAGACCGCGTGGAAGAGTTGCTTCTTCGACTCGCCTAATAAAATGTCAGTGGGCAAGTCTTGGACGAAAACAGAATCAAAACACCAACCATTCATAACCTTGCATACCAACTCCGTATACACTTCACAGGCTTCCACACACGCAAGCGAAGGATGAGTGATCTGGCTGTGTCTTCTGGCGATTTGCCTCGCCAGTTCAGAATCTCGCCAGTACACTAGTCCAATCGGGACAATCCTCATCAAGCTCCCGTTCCCAGAGCACTCTTCGTACTCCAATCTATTATTGACCATCTTCTGTGCAACTTCGAAATCACCCTTCTCCATACCATACTTTCTCCACTGCTTCAGGGAGACGCGAGTGGAACGTCCTACATCCCACGAGCGGTTGATAGTACTGAAATGGCCGTCTGTCACCCACTCGACAAAGTATTGGATTGATAGCGTATGGTTGTATTCCATGTTGGACTTGTTGAAGGAGCATGCCAAGGCCAGAGTCATAGATCCGTCGTCGGAGTAGGACCTGTTCGGGTTAGTTCCGCTTCGAATATATGCCCGTCGTGGAAACTAACCCAGCTGGTTGCTTGTAGGGCTCGACAAATCTTAAGCATGTGATCGGCTCGAATGTTCCTGGGTCTTTGAATTGTACGGGGCCACCGAGTGCGTCGGCTACGCAGACGCCCCAGATGGCGGCTTGGGCACGAGATTTCAATGATGGAGACATGTTGTGCTGCTGATTTTTTTGGTTCTGTTTTTGTTCCGAAGGGATTTCGTCTTATTTGAAGAGTTGGAAGATGTCGTCGAAAGTGACTCAAAGAGGAAGTGACTCAAAGAGGGAAGAAGCTTGGAAAGTCGGAAACCTTCAAATATTGAGTCATCAGGGCGCAGCACTAGTTGAGGGACTAAAAGCACCTCAATAATATAGAGACTTAAACATGAGATTGCTAGCGCAAAGGTCAATACGAGCCTTGGGATGATTTCTATGGAGTACGGACTAAGCCTCACGCTAGCCGTGTCCACAGCCTTGCGGACTCACCTCCGAGGCTTAGCTCTTGCCCCGTGAAGCTCTAAGAATGGCTGAATATGGTCCACCAGGGCTGAAAGCGCTCAAAACTGCCTATGTCTTCCGATGAATGAAGCAGCGCACGCCATTGCCTAGGTGTGATCCAGTAGTTTATGCCCGAAAGAAGTACAGGAAGTACACCCAAGTAAACAAGGATAGTCGGCCGCTTATGCCGTCAGGTAGTCTCCTCCGAGAGTCTTTTTTTTAGATATCTGGTTGTATAGATGTTTTCTCCACTATCTGCTTTGTCGGGTAGAAAAGGGCCAAAAAAAGGCTTAGTTTGTGAAATGGGCTTCTCTACGTATAACCTTTGATAAACACCTACTTAGGACGACGGCCAGACAACATCTTTCGCAGGCTGCCCATTATTTTCCTTCGCCAAATCTTCTACAGTCTTCCACCTCCACAGCCGCTGACCAGGGTTAACAAGCTCATTATCGTCCCCAAGAAAAGCAGGAGTATGAGCAATACCCCCATCACCCATCGAGAACTTTATATAAGGAGCCGGCTGGGACGAATACTCAGCAGTAGTCTCTTTCTTATATTCCTCATAGGGGAGACAATCAATCTCAATGCGTCCCGCACCAGCAGACTCCATAATTTTGGCTATCTCCGCAATCGAGCGCGAATCACCGCCAACATGAACAACATCGGGAATCTTCTCTTCGGGTAGACTCCCCAGCGAAGCAACCGTTCTACCGACGTCACCAACTGAGGTAAAAGATACCGGCGTGCGAAACGATCCAACACTAGTATACTTCCCCTTCTGGGTGTCGAGACCGTACCACGGCCCGATGTCTTCTAGAATTATGCTGCAGAATACGCGGCAAATCTTCATGTGTGGAACGACTCGCTGCGCGCTCGCAAGGTGTTTCTTCTTCTTCTCGTGCCACTCCGGGTGGGCGAAGTCGTGGCCGTAGTGGTCGATGCCGAATTCGGAGGGGAAGTAGACTCGGATGTTGGTCCGGGGGAGGGCGTCTGCGAGCTTCGTTTTGAAGTAGTGGCCTGCGGGCCCGATTGTGTTTACGAGGATTTGTATGCCTTGGAGGGCTTCTTCAAGATTGTTCTCGTTGTAGCGGCGTGTTGTGAGTTTTACCCCGCTTTGGGAGGAGGAGGGTTGGAAGAGACATGACTCGTTTCTTGAAAGGAGGATTATCTCGGAGAATTCGTCTTGGAAGGTTGAGGAGAGGAAGGCTGTTGTGACATGCTTGCCTAGATGTCCAGTGGCTCCGGCGATAGCGATGACTGCTCGTGTTATGGATGCCATATATGCGATCGAGCACTTTAAAGGACAGGATAAGGAGGGAAATTGGGCGAGTCTCAAATTTATATCTACATACCTTTGCCGTATCGATCATCTTCTTTGCGTCATTGGCAGGCCAGACAACCATCCCAAGATCCGGACATGCCCTGATTGACTCCCAATTGTATAATCTTCTATATATGCAGCGTCGAAGTGTTTACACAGTTCGTGCTTGGTCTAGCTCCCATGCATGGAGTATGTCAGTCGGGAGCGCAACGTACTTAGCTAGGGAGTTGGAAATTGGCATGTTGGTGGAGTTGGCGAGTTGTTGAAACCAGTGTATATCAGAGGAGATGGGCATAGATTATGTGTAGTTTCATGATATTATACCCATATCAGAAAAATCCGACCAACGTTAGAGAGCGTGCGGCCCCCAGAATGCTGTTCACCTGCGCATCAAAACCACCATATCCCATTGTGTAACCGGAGGGGGCCGACGCTTCTGCTAAAAAAGAAACGTAACGTTCTTTAGCGTTTTATTCCTAAATCCAACTCTATTACTTCTCCATGCTCAGGTATTTCGCCTCGGCGCCCTTGATACACGCAATATTGGCACCGAGCTTGTTGATCGTCTCAATGTACTCATCATAGGGGTCCGAGTCGAAGACAATACCACCACCAGCCTGAAGGTACGCCACGCCGTCCTTCACCATCATAGTGCGCAGCGCAATGCAGGTATCCATCGCACCGGGCATTTCGGCGGAGCCATCTGTGTTGGCGCTGTTATATCCAAAGTATCCCACTGCGCCAGCGTAGACACCACGCTTTTCACCCTCCAGCTCGGCGATGAGTTGCATGGCACGCACCTTGGGTGCACCGGACACTGTGCCGGCAGGGAAGATAGACCGGAATGCATCGAATCGGGTCTTGTCTGGCCGCAACTCTCCGGAGACTTGGGAGACCAGGTGCTGGACGTGCGAGAACTTCTCTACGACCATCAGTCGGTCGACCTGTGTTGTGGTGGGGTCGCAGACCCGGTTCACGTCGTTGCGGGCAAGGTCGACCAGCATCACGTGCTCGGCGCGGTCCTTGAGACTGCTGCGGAGCTCCTCGGAGAGAGCGGCGTCCTCCTCCGGGGTCTTGCCGCGCTTCACTGTGCCTGCGATGGGGTGGCTGATGATACGCCCCCGCTCTTCCTTTACCAGGAGCTCCGGGCTGGCTCCGACAAGCTGGAAGTCTTGGCAGTCGAGATAGAACAGATAAGGAGAAGGATTCACGGTGCGAAGGTGGCGGAAGAGGTTAAATGGGTGGAGAGACGTGGGTCGTGATAGCCGCTGTGACGGCACGGTCTGGAAAATATCTCCCTTGGCAATGTGCTGCTTCAATCGGTTGACGTGGCCTTCATATCCCTCCTGCCCGATGTTGGATGTATACTCCTGGTTAGGAATGATCGGGCCCTGGGGCGGAAGGGGCGTGCGGTCCTGGAGCAGCTTCTCAATCGTCTTCTGGATGATGGACTGGCCCTTGAGGTATGAGGTCTCGATATCTGCATCCACCGAGGGAATGGGAACGTAGGTGATGACCTTGACGACTTGGAAGAAATGATCGAATGCAACGATGGTGTCGTAAAGCATAAAGAATGATTCGGGCACTCCGAGGACATCTTTCATCGGCCTCGCCGTCTTGGGCTCAAAATACCTAACACAGTCGTATCCAACATATCCGATCGCTCCAGCAGCCAACGGCGGAAGGACTAATTCAGGTACTGTCGCGACGCGGAACTGTGAAAGTTCATCCTCGAGGTATGGGAGGGGATCGGCTGCTGGGCCATGGCCTTCGCCGGTCTTGATGACCTTTCTGGGGTCTGTATTGGAGGAAGCGGTAAGCGATGGAATCGGACCAAAGGCTCCCGGTATCACCCACCTGCACCAACAAAGCTGTATCGCCCAATGGTCTCCGTGGTAGCAGCGCTTTCAAACAAGAATGACAACCGCGAGCTATTCTTGCGAGTCAGCGATCTTGTCCAGTATCCCATGCCCCCGCCTTATCGCCCAATCCAATGACTCACTTCTCTGCAATCTTCAAGTATGCCAATGTCGGGGTTAAGAGGTCGGCAGCCATCGATGCCGTGACAGGAAGTAGGTTGGGAGGGAAGGCGGAGTTCCTCGACTTTGAGATCACTTCTCGCGCCGTCTCGAGGGACGGGATGGTGACAGCCTGAGTCATTGGTCAAAACAAAATCCCAGGTGTCGAAGGGCGGAGAAATACAGTAGTAAGACAGATGTGTACTTACAGGAGTCGCCATTTGTTATAGGTGCCTGATATCGACGAGGGATAGTAAAGAGAAAGGATTGAATTGGCGTGGGAAAATGATTCACACTGTCCACGGGTGGGGGTGGATATGTTGCCGGCAGGCCCAGTTTGCTGATGTGAGATTTGGAAAGTTAACACAATTGTGATATCAATTTTAAGCCTCCTTATATATATATGGATTCACGGAAATGAAATTCTAACCTTCAAAAGGCCTACACGTCTCACATGTGTGCTCAGGTGCCCTCCAGCGCGTGACTATATGCATCCAGAAGCGGACTAGCGTCGACGATTATCGATCGAGGCCTATCGACGTCGGGACTATGGATGGATGTACCTATATTGTATGGAGTATAGGACTTCATTTGGAAATTGGGGTATTTTCTTGATTATCAGACATTGAAAGTGAGTTCTAGAGATCACAGATCCCACCTGAGATGGGTGAGGGTAAAAAAAGGCAAAAGAAAAAGTCCACCGTCGCCAGTCCATGTCATTCGCCGTGCCCACCCAAGCCTGTCCCAAGCAATGCATGCCATTATGCATTTTCTAAAGAAAAATGTATGTTCATAGAAGACAAAAAGTAAAAAAAGGCAAGAATCGGAAAAACCATGAAGGGTGATATGTCTTCGAGGGAAAGAGATTGAGAAGGCTTTTCAAGCGGGATTGTCAGATTAGTTCAAGCAGGGCATGAGTCGTGAGTTTTATGTGGCTGTTTCAAACCCGCTCTGTCATCGTTGCAAGTTGATGATTGCCATCTGAGGGAATGGACTGTCAGCATGGGGGAAATTGACACAGGTAAACCAGACCAGGGAGCTTACCTGTTTGTCAAAGCCATAGGCAAGTCGTTTTCCATCTGCATCCCAGGAAAGGGCCCGATGGGGATCTGATTTTGAATATCCATTCTGTCCATGGTGTCCATTATGACCATTGGTCATGCGGTCGGCCTCCTCTTTCTTCACCTCGGGGCTAGTTGCGGTCCAGGTAGACATGAGATTACCCCCGGGATGTCCAGTGTTCCAGATAAAGAGCCCGTCGTTGCTAGCCGCACCGAGAGCATATCCATCGGGCGAGAAAGACCCGGTAATAGCGGGGTTTGAGTCTAGGCTCAGCTGATGGAAGTTCGTGTAATCCTTTATATCGAGGTTGACTTGCCAAACCTTGACCTTACCATCCGCCGAGAAAGAGGCAAATTCAATACGGTGACGGTCAAATTGAGGGCTGATATCAATGCCGGTGATTCTGTCCTTGTGGGCGTTAGGGATAAGAATGTCATGGGTAGGGATCCAAAGTGAAGCGCTCAGTCCGGAAGCCACGATAGCAACCGAATGAGACTCGGTTTGGACACAGCGAATAAACTCCCATGTTGCGTTTTCTCTGGGAGAAGGAAATGTCTTGATCAAGCGGATGCTGTTGTCTACTTCGCATTGATAGACTGCACCGTCGCCAGAAGCGAATGCCAAGTTGGGTCCACACCACGCGAGATCATAAATATGGTTCTCAATTATTTGAGGCGGAGGGAAAACATCTGGTCGGCGGCTGTCGTCCCAGAGCGCGAGTTCCGATACGTTATGATTTGAGGCTACAACGACCAGTTGCGAGCTGCCAGTTGCCCAGTGCAAGCCAGTGATGAGCCGGGGTACTTCCGGTAGTAAATCCACTGCTTCTCCGTTGACGTTGTACATGGTGATAGTGCCCCTGTCATCAGTACAAGTTGCGACGGCCAATTTCTCACCAATGGCATCCCAGGCCACGGTCGAGACACTCGTGTCACCCTTCTTGAGCTCGAGGATTTTCTTCTCCACGGGTTCCGACGACATTGACAACTTCCACAAGCTGCAAAAGAGGTCACCGGCTCCCACAACCACAGTGGGATCCCGAGGACGCCATAGGGTATGGGTCACGTGATTGTCCGGATTCAACAGGGCGGTGTCGGGGGTCAGATCGATGGGCTTGGCGGGGGCGATCTGGACGGAAGAGCTCTCGCCGTTTTCGAGGGTAGGTAGTTCAGGGATTTCCTCAGCCATGCTGACATCACCATCCTCATCCATATGATCGGGAGTACCTGGCTGACTTTCAGTTTGCGCCTTGTCCTCCATGGATTCATCGCTATCAGTTTCGTCTTTTCGGCTGTCCTTCCCGGGCTCGGCATGGCCGTTCACCGGGCGGTCGCGCACAAGTTGCCCCGGCGAATCTTGGTCTGTGCCGACAGCCTCATCTGGACTTTTCACCGATCCAGCTTTGGCTCCAATTTCAAAGGGCTCTGGTCCGAAAAAATAATCAGACGGTGAAATGCTTTTGCGATTGCCCTCCTGCGCATTGCGATTAGTTGGGGTTTCAATTGAGGAACCCAAAAAGAAGTAGATATTTTTGTTTTCCCTTTGGCGCGTAAGACAGTTTAAAATGAAACACGTACCTTGTCCAGCGAGGACTCCAACTCGTGGTATTGCAGGCCCTTTTGGACCAGCGACACCAGCGCATGGGTTTTAATGTAAGGCGCAAACGGGAGAGTCTGCGGGTCAGGGAACCACGCGCGCTGCAAAGACACCGCGGCATCACCATGACCTAGGTTGAGTTAGAGGTCAAATTGGAAGGGGAAAGTCAAGGGGCAATGTGACCAACCGGCTTCTTGGAGGTACCTAAAAAGATATTAGTTCTGCGGGAGACGCATGGGTTGTATTGCACTTACCTCCATATTAAATAGTTGACATGATGCG